CAGTCCCAGTGACCCACTTGGGAAATTTGTGCTTCTCGTCCCTATAAATTTAGGATCTGCAGGATTAGATGCCCTAGTTCCTGGGGTGGGAGATGCATCTACCAGGGGTCACAGTAAGGGTACCACTAAACCCAAGGCTACAGCAGCCGCTGGGTCATTTTGGGCACCTCATGCCAATTGACTAGTCGACAAAGAAAAGACCTATACTGGCAAAGATGTTTGGTCTTGATTATCCCACGTCCACTGGTAACCATGAACAGGCAGTTGCAGCAATGTTGAACTATCAAGGACATGGTAATAAAAGGCTGAGGCCATCGGGGATGAAGGTCTGGGTTTTTCCATTGTGAAAGCCCCAGAGACCAACAGAATGAATTGTAGAGGAGGGAGATGTTGAACACTGATTACAGCCTCGGAACCAACTGCAGCAACAGTTACTGTAGTTTGTCCCACTAACCCTCCGGTTGTAAGACTTCCTTTTTAAAGAATTAGAAATTGCGATCAGCCAACACCTTGAAGAATCAGTGATGGGACAAAGTGAACTTAACACGGGGGCACAAATGGATCTGAGCAGTGCAAAGGGTGGTTTGTAGCTGTGACCCATGTCCTTCAGCATTCGTCTCTACCTACAAGGAGAAGGCTTCTTGGTGAACATCTGTGCCTCTGCCTGGGCTTTCTTTCTGGCTGTGGGAGCGTGCTTGTGCTCAGGGCTGGGCAGGAGTGCTAGAGGGTTTATGCTCCCAGGAGCAGCCCTCAAGCAACAGGCAGGAAGCTGGCCCATACCTCCCCAGTTTCTTTGCCCCTGGGGTGGGATTCTCTGAGACAGGTTCTACACTGTCTTCCAGAGTGCCCCAGCAGGACTGAGCCTAGTTGCTCCACCTGCTCTATGACACAGCTCTCATGGGCTTCCTTCCCTTTCCTGTCTCCACTTCTTCACTCCTCTAGCAGTGCCTCTTAGCATGACCTTCCAAATAAACTACTTGTACCAGAAGTCTTGACTCACATCTGCTCGTAGGGAACCCTGTTGTCTTAGTCAGTTTAGGTCACTATAACAAATTACCATGGACTGGGTGACTTAAACAACAAACGTTTATTTCTCACAGTGCTAGAGGCCGGCAGATCTGGTGTCTGGAGAGAACCCGCTTCCTGGTTTGCAGATGGCTGTCTTCTCATTGTATTCTCACATGGTGGAGAGCAGAGAGGAAGAAGCTCTCCGAGTCTCTTCTAAGGGCACTAATCCCATCATGAGGGCTCCACTCGCATGACCTAATTACCTCCCAAAGGCCCCATCTCCAAAAACCATCACATTAGGGATTAGGGTTTTAACATATGAATTTTGGGGGGACACAAACATTCATTCCATAGCACCCATCTAAGACAAATGGAAGAGAATCAAGCATTAATCCTATCTTTCCCGAAGGGGTTATATATCAGAATAACAACACAGTTGATGAGGGAAATTTTTCTTTATAGATGATTCACAGCTAATAAATGAAGGAGGAATGACAAAATTAGAAAATCTCCATTTTGCTAATGAGATAATGAAATAATGGCTCTAGACAATGATCATCAGTAGCCATTAGATAAAAAGTTGTTGGGTGTAGTGGGTTGAATGGTGGCCGCAAATAAATATATCCGTGTTCTAATCCCCAAAATCTGTGAATGTTAACTTGTTTGGAAAAAGTGTCTTTGCAGTAATTCATTACCTGAATTCATTCCCTAAATTCAGTTAATCGTTTTGAGATAAGATCATTCTGAATTAGCCAGGTGGGGTAAATCCAGTGACAGGTGTCCTTATGAGAGAAGAGGAGAAGACACAGATATGTGAAGAGGAGGAGGCAACGGAACCACAGAGGCAGAGATTGGAGTGATGCAGCCAAAGACGCCAAGGAATGCCACCAGCCACCAGAAGATGGAAGAGGCAAGAAAAAATTCTCCTTAGAGTCTCCAGAAGGAGTGTGACACTGCCGACGCCTTGAGTTTGGACTTCTGGCCTGCAGAACGGTAAAAGAATAAATTTCTGTTGTCTTAAGCCACCAAGTTTGTGGTAATTTGTTACAGAAGCCATAGGAAAATACAGTGAGGAACTTTATAATGAATGAGTCAGACTGACACTACCTGAATTTACTGATAAACCTCAGCATCACCATTTTAGTACAACAACCAGCCACCATGTGCCTCCTGATGTGATGAAAGAGGAAGTGTACAGTGTCATGTATAAAATATTCCTGGAAAAAAAGTAAATGCAAATTTAATCAAACTTCTAAATATAATTACAGGGGGCAGAGGAATATGTTAAATAACACTGCAAGGATCCACTCAGCCAAATCTAGAATGTGAGAAAATTGACAAGAAAATGACCCAGTTTCTTGAACAAACAAACAAAATGGCATAGGTAAAATGAAAGAGGAAGAAGTATTATAGCTTAAAAGATACTTTAAAAAATTAACCAAAAAATTAATCAAATGCAATCTATAGACCTTAGTTGGATCCTGGCTTGAGCAAATTGACTATAAAATTGTATTTTTCAGACATTCAGGGGAAATTGATCATGAACTAAATATTAGATAAAATTAATTTAATTTTGTTGGGGGAATGTGATGATGGAATTATGGTTATTTTTAAAAGTCACTATATATTAGAAATACATACTGAGAAATTACAGGTGAAATGATAGGCTGTCTGGGATTTACTTTAAAATACTGTAGCAAAAACAAACACAAGTGAAGGGATTCATAAAATAAGATGGATAGAATTCTGAAGTGTTCAAGCTGGAAGAAGTGGTTCATTATACCAGTCTCTCTATTTTTGTGTACGTTTGATGAAAAAAAAAATAGTAGGGGCTGACCCGGTGGCATAGTAGTTAAGTTCACGTGCTCTGCTTTGGCAGCCCAGGGTTCACGGGTTTGGATCCCAGGTGCGGGCCTACTCACCGCTTATCAAGCCATGCTGTGGCAGGTGTCCCACATATAAAGTACAGGAAGATGGGCATTGGATGTTAGCCCAGGGCCAATCTTCCTCAGTAAAAAGAGTAGGATTGGCAACAGATGTCAGCTCAGAGCTAATCTTCCTCACAAAAAAAAAACAACCCATAAAGCAGGAATAGCAATATGGGGAGTAGTTGTAAGAATTAGTGGTCATGTGTCTTTATGGGTGAAGAAATAGAGCTTTGTAGCAAATGGAAAGCTCCTCCCATGACCATTTCTCATATGGTCTCTTGACAAAGGCTGAGGCATCATACTGAAGAGAAGAGAAGCCATCTTCCTGCAGGCTGAGCTGCTGGGCCCAGGATCTTGGCTTTCTGAGTCTCTGGCTCCAGAGTAGGTCAGAACTTAGAAAACCCAGAAGAGCAGTGCGGGAGTGGGTGACTACCAGTATATCTCAGAATCTAGACTGCCCTCTAGAGTGATGCTTGTGTAGATGTTGGTGCTGATGCTGTTCATCAAACATTTCCAGTTCCACTTCTAGGCTTGAGCAGGATTGCTCTTTCCTGCCCCCTTGTGGTTGAGCGGAGCCATGTGATTAGTTCTGGAGAATGAATTGTGAACACAAGGGACAGGTGTCCCTTCTGGGCTGTAGCTATTGATTGCTTGTGTAAGACCCTCCAGAGCTCTTTTTATTTTTCCATTCTGGCATGGTGATTGATGGCATTGGACATGGTGGCTGCTCTATCAGCCTGCGTCCCTGAATAACTGGAATGAGAAGAGCCCACTTGTTGAGCACAATACATATGTAGCCTGAGTGAGAAATAAACCTTTGTCATTCTAAGCCACTGAGATTTGGAAGTCATTTGTTATCACAGTATAATTTAGCTCATCTTGACTAAAATAGTGCCATACAGCAATCAATCCTACGGGCTACCTGGTAAGAACCTGAATAATAATTATTATTGTTCTGTTATTATTGTTATAATAATAATCATTAATTACTATAGGTACCACTTACTGAGTGCCTTCTATGTGTACCAGGCATGTACCACCCAGTACCTGCATTGTATCAGTTACTCCCCACAAAAAACTCAGGAGGCAGATATTACTATCCCATGACCAAGATGAGAAAACCAAAGCTTAGGAAATGGCACAAAGATTTCATTTGCTATATAAGGGTTATTGAAGATGGTGCTCATTCAATCATTCTCTGTCCTTACATAAAGTCCCACGGGATGAATTCTCTTTAGCAATTACAGCAAGAACCCTCTTGGAAAGCAATTTTACAACACGTATCAAGGGCCATTGGAATGTTCATACCCTTCGCTCCAGTCATTACTACTCTCCAGCCCAGGTTTTTTGTGGTGTAGATTGCTTGAATAGAATATATATATTGTAAAGAAAAACGGATTAATGACACTACAGTTTGTCTCGAATTACTAGTATGTTTCCTCTAGCCCGATGTTAAGAATGTTACTGGTCCAGTTTCCCCTTTTGCCTTGGCGGCCATGGTGGTGGTGAACGTTAAACCGAATGCACAGTCAGCCTGAAGTATCAACTCTGCAGTGACCTTGTTGGTATTGGTGTTCGCCTCCTCCTCCTTCCGCAGGGTTAATTTCCTGTCAATTGTAGCAATGGTTTTACTTTTCTAGCAGTCCTGCAAACCCTTCTGGGAGACTGGCAGGATACAAACAGCTTTTGAAATATGTTTAGGTCCGTCTTACATTTGTTCTGTGGTGCCCAGAGGGTAGGCCTGGGGGTTTGGAGCGCTCCTGGCGGATTTGATCTAGAGTAATCTTAGGTGAGCGTGTGGCGCCCCCGCGTGGTGCCTGGCGAAACAACACCGCTGGGTTCTCCCTCGTCTGTCTGAGGCCAGGCCGCCCACGGTGTCGCCAACTCTCCTTCGGCCTTTTGGTGCCCTCTCCGCTTAATCTCCACTCTCCTGCTGGCTCACTCCTCAGCGGCAGTAGCCCCTCCTCTTACTCTGTCTTCCTAGCCGGGCAGTCAGCACTCTGGGTCCAAGATCATCCCCCTCACTCCCCATGCCTCTCTGCGCTTACAGCTTCACCCAACACAAAAAGTCCCCGAGTTATTTTATTGCAGTATACAGAGGTCAGTTAATGCCCCCTGGGCGCCCATTCTGCCCCCTAGCAGTGGCTGCTTGGTCTGCTGGCGGCACGAGAACCGCCGCGGGTCCTCGATGCGCGGGTCCGAGTGTAGTACCCGCACACCCCGCCACCGGGGGCGCCACCAACTCCCTCCCCTAAGCCCGGCCAGCCGGGATCCGCTGCCCGCAGCCCTCGGCCGGGAACGCGGGTCAGAAGGGGCTGCTCCTTGTCTGGCGGGAAGGGAGGCTCGTGGGAAAGGGGCGGCGAAAGACCTCGCCACGACTCCCAGGCTTTGTCCCGCGCGCTGGAGGGGGTGCGGTGGGCGGCTACTCGGAGTAGCAGTAGGTCCCGTAGGCCGCCTGCTGGGGTCTGGGGAAGCCGAAGCTGCGCACTCCGGGATCCGGGAGGCCCCCGCAGCGCGGCCGCGGCGTGGTGATGGGGAAGCGCACGCTGCCGTCCGCCAGCCAGCCGCCGTCGCACTGGTCCAGCCCCGAGAACTTCCAGGCGGCGTAGAGGTGCCCGACCTTGGCCACCACGGCCCCGCGCCGCCGGCACGCCGCGTGGGCTTCAGACAGCGTCAGCCGCCCGGGCACGAAGAACACGTGGCCTGGGGACCAGAGCGGGTCACCGACTGGCCAACAGCCGGGCAGGGCAGGGTGCGGCGGGGATTCAGATTCCCAGGGAGCCGAGTCGGGGGGTAGGCTGTGGAGGGGCGGGACCGAGATTGCGCAGGAGGAGTGGGAGTATGGAGGCAGGGAGTGTGAGCGGGGTTGCGGGAGGCGGGCTGGGGCCTGGGTGGGCGCAGTGATGGAGGGAGCGGTGCTTCGGTGAGCCTGGGAAGCGGCCCCTGACCTCAAGCCTCCTGCGTTCTACTTTCCCCGCCCCATTCTTCAGACCCCGCCCCAAGTTCCCGTCGTAGCCTCGCTCGCCCCGCCCCGCCTCGTTCGCACGCTGGGTCCCCCTCCTTCCCAGCCCTCAGGCTCCGCCCCGTCCGGGGTCGCTCGCCGCGCCCCTCACCTGCCAGTGCCGAGGTGAAGCAGAAGGCGTCGTAGCGGTCGCGCTTCCGGTCGCGGGGCCCGTAGCTGCGGATCCCGGGCCGACCTCGGCCGCCGCACGGAGCGCGCGCCGTGAGCACAGGGTAGCGCACGGAGCCCTCGAGCAGCCAGCCCGCGTTACACCAGTCCAGACCCTCGGTCCACGCTGGCGGGAGATGGCGGAGGGGGGAGTGTCGGGGGGATTAGAGGCGTCGCAGGCGGGAGCCAGACCCCGAGCTCACCTCCGCTGGGGCCCATGTGATAGCCCGGAGAGGGCCTGGGCGGTGCCCGGGTTCGGCTCACCCTGGTACAGCTGGGCGTAGGTGGCCAGGCGTCCGTCCTGCTCCTCGCACGCCTGCTTCGCCTCGTAGTAATTGAACTGGTACCGGCCCCGGCTGGGCTGGTACGGAAACACCACACCTGGGGAGTGGCGGACAGCCTGGGGAGGGCCGGCAGACGGGGAGGGGAGGGAACCGCGCAGCCAAGGAGAGAAGGCTGGGGGGACCCCGGGAGCGGGCGGGGCAGATGCTGCGGGAGAAGCCCTGGGAGACCCGAGATGAGGCGGCAGGAGAGGCGCGGGGCGGGAACCGAAGGGCCTCACCCTCCAGGCTCAGGGTCAGCGCCACGCTCTCGTCCTCGATGCCGTTGATGAGCTCACAGCGGTACCTGCCCTCGTCCTCCAGGCGCACGCCCGCGATGACCAGGGAGGCGTCTAGCCGATGCCCCCTCCGCATCCTGGCGCGCCCCCCGAGGGGCCCGTAACCCCGCGCGAGCGGCCCGTTGGTGATGAGGATCGGCGTTTCCTGGAGCTCCCCTGGCTCCACTTTGCTCCAGCGGACCTTGTAGCTGGGAGGCGGGGTGCCCAGAACGCAGGGCAGCGTGGTCGTGGCCCCACGACGAGAGTGAATGACCTCGTGGATGGGGGGCAGGAGGTAGTGGGGGCCAGGGTGGGGTGCTGAGCAGAGGGGGCCACAGTGGCAGGAACCCCCTGACCCTCACTGCCCATCCAGACCCTGATCCCCAGGCTCCCCCACCCTCTCCTCCATTGCCCACTCAGCAATGCCTCTCACTCCCTGTGTCCCTCTGACAGCTGCCTTTCCCACACCTGGAGCCCCTCCCCCACTGTTCCCCAGATTTCGGGCTGGGCTGAGGTCTTACCCGGGTCCCCCAAGGCTCCCTGGAAGATGGTGAAGGCCCAAGGGAGAAGGAAGTGGCAGAGTGTGGGGAGAGTGAGCCAGCCTGGCATGATGGGGAGTCAGCCCAGCACCGTCTGCAGGGCACAAAGGGTGGGGACTCCTTAGGACTAAGGGAATGGGGGGGCAGGGTTGGAGATGAACTCCCATCAGGAGTTCCTCAGAGGGGACTGTCCAGCTGGAAGCCATGGGGGCAGAGAAAGGGGCTGATGTTGGTGGCAAAAGGAAGATGCTAAGGGGAGGGGCAGTAACAAACCCTCCCCCCGCCCAGACCTCCTGGGCCCATCCCTCTTCCTCTCACACGTCCCTTCAGGCAGCTGGTCCTGATTTAGCACCTCCTCTCTCTGTCCCCTTCTCCTCACAAGAGCTACTTCCCAAGTCCTGCCATTGGATCTCCAGCTCCGATCTCTATCATCTCCCAGCACCCATTCTCCATCTGAAGCCAGAGTAAATCTGATCTTGTTACTCTCCTGCCTAAAACAGCAGCTCCCTGTTGCCCTGAGGATATAGTCCAGTCTCTCAACGACGGCTTCCAAGGCTCTCTGCAATCCAGCCTCCCCCTGCACCTCCAACATCGCCCCCACCCCCTGTGCCCCTGCACTGTGCTCCAGACATGTTGGACTTCTGGCTCCACAGTCCAAGTTGGCTCTTATCTCCTCCTCACGGGCATCACCTTGGGCCTCACCTCCTCTGGGAAACCTTTCCTCTCCCCCGACTCCGCCACATTGCAGTGCACTGTGATCTGCTCATCTGCTTCTCCTACTGCACTGGACTGGGGACTTTTTATTCTTAGAAGTACTTTTATTAGCAGCTAAATTAACAGCATGAATTTGAAAGTAGAAAATATGTATATGTAGATTATATCAATGAGGTTTCTAGTAATTATAAAGTTATGAAATATAAAATTATAGAGTTAAAAAAATGATTTCAAACACAATTGTCTATTTCAGTAGTTGATTTTTCCTGCTTCTTCATTGTATCTGTTCTTTATCACCTTGACCATTTAAAAAAATTGGACTGAGGTCCCCTTAACCCAGCTTTAGTCATTTTCTAAATCTGATTCCTCCACTTCTTAATTGCATGACTGAATGAGTTATTTAACCTCTCTCTGCCTCAGTGTCTTCATCAGTAAAATGTGGATAATAATACACACCTACCTCACTGGGCAGTTGTGAGGATTAGATGAAATAATCTTAAAATAGTGTCTGCTGTGTAGTAAGTGCTGGGTATGTGTTAGGTATTATTTGCAGCTCCTAGCATATTTTCTGGTACACAGTAGGTGTTAAATAAATGTGTGTGAGTTAACAAATGAGTTCACATTAAGGGCTTCTGGGAAGGAGAGCTGGGACATGGGGAAAGGGAGGAAACACTGAGGGGGAGTCAGAAAGCTAAGGAGCTGAGTTCTGTCTTCCCACAAGTGAAGGCCAAAGAGGAGCTTGCAGTGGGAGAAATGGGGGTTAGGCACAGAAAGGACTTCCCAATGGTTAAAAGGGAAAGTATCTGGGACAGGGACGTGAGCGAGAGAACCACTTCTGTTGGGGAGAACCTGGTAAGCAGGGTAATGGCGGGAACCGAGATTGACTGAGGGACCAGCAGCAATGACAGCCAGCACTCACAAATTTAGAGTTTAGTATGCCTGAAACTGCTCTGAGCACTTTACATGTATACTTTTATATTTACTCCTCTCAGCAATCCTGTGAAGTAGGAACGATTATGAATTCCATTCTCTACCTGCTCAGAGGTGTGCAGACTTTAGGAAACATGAGTGAGGTCACACTGCTAGTAAGAGGCAAGGTTTGCTGGGATTTGAATCCGGATTTGATAGTGAGGCTCAAGCTCTTAATCACTGATCTATATTTCTCTATTTCAAAGCATCAAATCAGGCGCACATGTATCTTCCTCATACCCCTTACAGAGAATGAGAGTGGCCAACAGCTCCAGTCTTACCTGTTAGAAGCCGGTCTCTTCACAGAGATGGAGGAAGCAATGATTGGCAGCTGGTCGTCCTGCTGGAGGAAGAGGTTCCAGATGAAGGAGTCACCTGGGTCCCTGGGAGGTCCAAGCACCTTAGAGCTCAGGGACTTGAGCATCTGATCAGTTGGTGGCTCCTTTTGCACCCTTGAGGAAAGGCTTCTGTCCTGAGCTCACAGAAGATGCCAAAGTGCCAAGAACTCTCCCACCCGTCACTCCACTAGGCTGGGCTAAGTGACCGGTGTCCAGCCCTGTGACCCGGCACTTTATCTGTGGCGCCCTCTGTCCTGCTCCCAGGGGAGGACACTGGGCTCGGGATGAGGAGTGGGGACCCATGAAGGGGGATGGAGTAAAGAAGGCAACCCAGGAATAATTACCTGGAAGAGGGCCTCGTTTCCTCTAGATGCTCTTGGACCAGAGAAGGGGTGGATTGATTGGCGGGTATGAGGATGTTGGACCGATGGGTGTGGGGATGAATTGCAAATAAGGCTTAAAGATCCAAAGCTGTCAATCTCCATCCACCTCCATTTTTCCATATGGGCCTCATCTAAGCAGCGCCCCTTCCCCTCCCCTGACAAAGTCCTCACCTCTGCCCTCCTGTGCCTGGGTGCGCATTGCCTATGGGAAGAGGCTCTCAAGGTGGGAACCAGACTTCCAGGACCTCCAGCTGCTTCGAGAAACCTGAGCCCTTCTACCCAGCCCCACTGTCTGTCCGTCTGTCTGTCCTTTCCTTCTCTGTCCCCACCCCGTCGGAAGCACAATTTCCCATTGTCTCCGTCTTTTCCCCTATTGTTGAATAACAGGGGCCCTTTCTTTATCCTGTGGGTACGAAATGTCAACAGCTGGGGATGTGGGATGCAGGACCGGCTGGCACATACCACCGGAAAAAGGGCCTGGATGGGGGCGGGCTCAGAACAGGAACTGACATCCTGAGGAGTAGGGAATGGGATGAGGGAGAGAGAAGGGTTGGTGAGAAGGTTGAAATGGGGTCCCCTCTCAATAGCCCAAGCTTCAATGCTCTAAAGAGATTTTGTGTGAGGCTAAGGGGATGGCTGGGCTCCACGGAGGGCAGAGTGAGCGGTTAGAATTGCAATAGAAGAGATGGAAATTAGACAGCAAGCAGGATTTTTCTGTCCATAGGAAGGGACGTGGTAATTTCCGGGGATGGAGGGACTTTGGAAAGCTCTCCAAGAAAGAGGTCATCTTATTTGTTCCCTAGTTCCCCACTTCCACCTTCAGAACAGATGGATAATCTTAAAGTTCTCAAGAGAAGGGAGATCCTTAACCAACTGGGGTGGAAATTCACTTCTCTGAAGTCCCCCTTTTTAAGAAGTTCTTTCTGAAGTCTGAAATCCTGCTGGAGTTTAAGCTCATTTTTAAAGCTTTCTAATGAGGTATAATTTACATACAACAAAGAGCAGAGATCTTAATATAGCTCAATACATTTTTACATGTGTGCACACCATGGAACTAACACCCCCGGATCAAGAAGTCGAACATTTCCAATACTCAGAATAAGCGCATTTCCTTTTGTTTGCTATCAGTGCCAAGGGAGGACTCCCTCCGTAAATAGTCATTTAGAAACATTCCCAGCGTCAGATTGCCTCTCAGCCTTCTTTTCTCTCCGGTCTCACGTGAGTAGCTTCGTATTATTAGAATCATCCGCTTTCAGAACTGGAGGGGACCTCAGGATGCTTAGCTTCCTCAGCTACCAGACGAAGAAGAGGACATGGAGGAGAAGGCGACTTGCCCACACAGACACAGTTGTTGAGTCAAGCTTAGAACTTGCTGCTGCTTCTGCTAACTCCTCTTCCGCTGCTCTCCTCGACTCTCCAGGTCAGATAGGCTGCCGGGTTTTCACTGGGGCTGTTTCTAATAACAGGGAGCCCACCTCACTGGTACTCTTTAAGGATTTGATTGACTGTCTTTTCCCTGTCCGCTCCATCCTTGTTCCTAAGCCCTTCCCTCTCCCTCCCAGAGAGAAAGACCGAGGAGAGAAGACAAACAGCTGCCTGTCTCTTCAGCCAGGACACCCTGATCCAGCGCATCTGATTGGCTTCTGCCCAACTCAAACAGCCTCCCGCAGAGAGCGGGACAGGGTAAAGCGGGGGCAGCCCATCGCTGCCACCATTCCCAGGCTCACTCCTCACAGCTCCTTTCTCCCCAGATCACTTCTAAACTGTGGTTTGGAAGTCTCCGGTATGTACATCCATAAAAGACTGAGTTTGGCAGGGAGGAAGGCCTAGAGCTATTTGACAGATGCAGAAAGAGCCCGTTGAGGATGGAGTGAGAAAGGAGCAGACCAGAAATGAATAAGGAGTAAAGAACCAAACTGTGCTTGGTTTACTCACATTCATTCCCAGTTTTCCCCAGGACACTGTGAAACAGGAACGGGGTGACACCGCTCAGGCGTCAGTAGGCGTCTTTTCACTGAACCGGCGTGTTTTCACTGAACCAGCATCTTCTGTGGAGCGGCCTTTGCCTCTCCTGCTACCTACTGACCAGGGTGAGGTAGAATCCTCTAGGACAAGTGTGGAGTCCTGACACCTCTTTCCCTAACATCCCAGATTCAGCTCGACCCCCCAGGCACATCAGCTGACCAATTTTGTTGACCCCGAGTGATGGCAAACACAGTCCCAGCCCCACTGCTGGGATTGTTGCATGAAGGACTGGGAGAGTTGGCAAAATGGCACCTTAGTGGGAGAGCAGGGAGGGGCTTGGTGTGACTGGCAGGGCTTCCCTCTCCTTCCAGCAAAGTTCGTGTTCACACGCAGCTGCCAAGTTCTCTGCAGTGCCGCAGGGCAGCCTCACACTCCTCCTCTACTGGCTCTCACCTTTCTCCTCCTCCCTGGGAGCCTCTCTCCAGCCCAGGCTCAGGCCTCCTGTGGGGCTGGATCCTGGCTGCGCGGCAAGATGATGTGGTGGGGGAGCCTGGGGAGTCAGCCTTGAGGAAAGACCCGTTTTCCACTCAGGAGGCCTCATTGTACCCCGAACAGCCTTTGTATTGTGGATAGAGTCAAGAGTGGGAAGGAAGGGGGAGATGGAGTCCATGTCCCTGGGGCAGGGGCTGCCAATCTGGAGGGCTCTGGAAGGAACACTGGAATGAGAGGAATCCTGTTGCAGCCAGATGCTAACCTCATGTGAGACTCTATACCAACCTCCTGGAGCTTCGGTCTCTAATTATCAAACGGGCGCCACATCTGCCCAACGAGACTTGTTGGTGTGAGGCAGATGGAACAGCGTTCTACCAAGCGAGAAGCACATTATGAATAAGGTTCATTGTTAGAGGGTTGGTTCAAATTGGAAAAAGGCTAGAGATGGGGAGAACGAGATGGGACAGAGATGAGACCTATTCCACCCACTCATCCTTGCACTAGCCACACCCTCTAAGAACAGGTGGGGCCCCTGTTGGGGCGGGGGGCTCCTTCTATACAGTGAGGGTAACCAGTGGGGTGTCCCAGTTTGGGATCCCTGGAAGCCTGAGACAGCAGCAGAGAAGGAAAAAGGAAGGGAGGAAGGAAGGAGAGGCAAAAAGTCATAGAGGGCCAAGGAGACCTCTCCCTCTTACTCTCCGTATTTCCACCTCTAAGGAGGGCATGAGGATGTCACCGCTGTGCCTCAGATGCCACATGGAGCCCTGACAGGAGACGGTGCCTCATCTCGGGCTGCCCTGCCTGGCCTGGAAGTACTGGGCAGAGCTCAGTCACCTGTTCATCACTCCCGCCCCTTTATTTGGGGCTCTTGAGAAGTGGGCCTCATGGTGCGTGCTTCAGTACCGATCAGAACCTAAAAACTAGCACTGAAGATGTCCAGAGGGAGGAGTTGGCTGGCTTCATGGGCAGCTTCTTCCTGACTCTGAAAAGTCTCAAAGTAATGGAACAGGGGTGTCATGTTGTCATCATCTCAATATGGCAGATGTTCAGGTTCATCAACCACATCTATTCCGAGGGCGTGGTGGGGGACAAGGGGCGAGGTCATGCTTCTCTCAAGTCCTTTTCCAAAGGGCCTCGGTGTGCAGAGAACTGTGTGAGGGACAGAAGTAGATGACCATGTGAAGCTCTCAGTCTCGTGGGATAACACCTGTTCTGTCTACCTCAGAGGTGAATGAGGGTAAAGCAAAATGACAGAAAGTGCAGAGAACAACAAAAGACAAATGTCTAGAAGCTATTTTCATGGTTACTAAGATTTAACGATTATATTTTATGTATTAGTAATCACGTCACCTATCATTCTGTCTGTAACAGTCGGTTCACTGCTATATCCAAGTGGACCATTTAAACTGTCTTTGTTCACCCACCCTGGCTAATACCTCAAGATCCTGCCTCCTCACTTCCTCAGCCCTTCTCCTTCTCCCAGGTCCCAAGACTCGCTCTCAAGTCTCTGCTTCTCTCCTCGAGCTAGCCGTCTGGGCTGTGTCTGACTCTTGTTGGTACCGACCCTCACTCCCAGTCTCATGCTGGTCAAGCGTAAACCCAGAAGACAATTTGCAAGTATTAACTAACAATTCTCAGGCAGAATTTGAATAATTTTAAAAAGTGAGCCCCATCTTATAGCTCTACATTCCTTCACATGGGAGAAATAAGTACTATCATAGCATTATCATTCCCATTTTATGGACAAGGAACCTGATGTCCAGAGAAGGCTAGTGGCTTGTTCAAGGTTGTTTGGCTACTAAGTTGTCCAGGTAGCTTATCCCCAAAGCCAGAGGAGTTCATCCCTTCTGTGAAAGGAGAATTCCTCCAAATTTGGACAAGGTAAAATGCGGATTGCTTGTTTTTTCGGTATCATTCTAGAGATTGTCTAAGAAGCCTGCTTGACGCTCATCTGACTTTCCCAGAGAAGGTAACTTGATTGTCACAGTGTATTTGATAAATAATCTACAACAGACAAAGATGTAGACACAGTCCTGTGGGGTTAGTGGTTAACTGGCAGAAGTTGATAAAACAATAAGGTTTTATTGCCCAATAGAGAGGCTAACCACAAAGGTATTTTGGTTTTATTGTCCTAGAATGTTGACCAGTCTCGTATCTAAATTAGCAATCTTATTTTGGCTTTCCTTTTCTTATTGACTGTATAAATCCCTGTTTCTCAAATGCTCTTCAAAGCAACTCTTTTGTCTTCTTCCTGGTTCCCTCATTAATGAGTTAAGTAAATCTTTGACATGAGTTAACAAATAACTTTAAGAATTGTGTTTTTCCACGTCTCCGCTTCCCTATATTGAAGACAACACACTAACGTTCTCTGCTTCCCTCAAATAGCAGACCCACTGGCGGAACTGGCCCGCGAGTTCCCCTGAGACTGAACCTCCTGGAGGGTAGGAGGCTTTGTAACTCCAGCCCCCAGTGGACCAGCAAGGGGCACTGAGAGCAAGTGGCTGTTCTCAGCAGGAGTCCTCCACGGTGCCTTCCGGCAGTTAAGGACACTCGCTGGCTGCTGCTCTGCTGGGGCCACCATCGTTACAGCCACTCAACCCCATGAGCAACATCGGAGACTTTATGACGCACCAATTGTGCTTCCTCCAGGAAGCCTTCCTTAACAAAAGCAAGAAACCATTTAACAGCTTTCCCACTTGGCATATACTAAGCATTCAGAAAATGTTTACTGCATAAATAAATAAAATTGAGGTTTTCTTCTAATTTCTGTAAGCTTAACAAAAAGGCAGTATGGTATAGTGGTTAAGTTCCACTGGCTCTGGAATTTGAGTGTCTGGGAATAAATCGCAGCCCTGCTACCTACTAACTGGATCACGTTAGGCAACTTACCTATCTTCTCTTTGCTTCATTGTTTTCATTTGAAAATGAGGATAACAACAGCAATGACAACATCAATAATTAGAAGAGTGCCTGACTCATAGCAAGCACTCAATACATTTTAGACTTTGTTATTGGTGGGGGGAAGAACTATCAAAGGGAACAGAATCAATTAAAAT